GTAATTATTAAAATAACCAACATACACACAAACACAGTCTCACAAACAAACACACGCACGCACACACACACGCACACATAAAGAGACAACTACAGAGGTTGAAATGAAGCGAGCTAACAAACATAACCAATAATATACATCAGTGGATCCCTCAATTACGTTCGCATCAGATCCTTTTAAAGAGATGAGGAGGAGGAGGAGGAAGAAGAAGAAAAAAAAATTTAGAAGATGATGCTGATGATGATGACGATGATGATGCTGCTGCTGCTGATGATGATGATGATGACGATGATGATGTCGACGATGATGTTGATGATGATGCTGATGATGACGACGAAGATAATGATAAAGATGATGGTGATGGTAGTAATGACGTTAATCATTACCAGCATGGCATGTACGGTGATAACTTCGGAGAATGATGGAAAGACGATGATGATGATGATGATGATGATGATGACGATGATGATGATGATGATGATAATGATGATGATGATGATATAGTGAAGATGATGATTATGTAATGATAATGGTGGTCTGTGAGACATAGTACGCTGAACTAACCAGATATTTAGAGATTCTTAAGCCTTGGATGTTTCTTAAATATAGAGGTTTAAAATACCTTTCTCTATCATTTTTACATCAGTATTACCATCAACATCAGTATTAACATCGTCATTATTATAGACAACATCATCATTATCATCATCATCATCAATATCATCACCACTATCATCACCATTTTCATCATTATTGCCATCACTATCGTCATTATCATCATCATCATCATCACCATCATAATCATCACCATCATTATCAATATCACCACCACCATCATCATCATTTTCATCATTATCGCCATCACCGTCATCGTCATCACCATCAACATCACCATCATCACCATCTTACCAAGTACATAAGCTTCTTATTCATCTGAAATGCTTTTTTGTCCACGGAGCTGATCAAGTTGTTCCCCATAAGCAGGTATCTGACATCAAATTCATTAATTTATTTATTCCTTCCTTCACTCATTCACTCCTTAATTTATTCCGTCATTCATTCATTCCTCGATTCATTCATTTACTCGTAAAAATTTAATCTTCTTCATTTCTTACATTCGGCTGCCCGTCAACAAACTTTTAACTCAAGTTACTGCGTTTGTAATGCGTTGCGTCGGTTTTGTCATCAGTCTGTTTGCCTCTGTCATCAAATCAATTGCCAGCCGCCGCAGGAACATTCCCGTGAATTATTACGGACCCCCAGTGTTTTTCACTTTTAAAGCATCGCCCATCATCTCCATTTATTTATCTCTAATTAAACGAAACACTCCTTTCTTGTCGGTCAGTAATTTAGAGTAGAAACGCAACTGAAGTTATTTTCTATTTTATAGATACCTCATAATTTATTTATCAACAAATCATAATAACCTCCCCAGCAGTTATTAAATTTTCAAAGAGACGCCACAAAAGACAAAGCCTTCTCTCTCATTCACACACTCATTCGCCTACACACCACAAACCTCAAATTGACGAGATCCCTCAGCGAGAACTGTGTGAGCACTCGGATCCTGTTCTGACTGATATCCAACCTGGAAAGCTCCACCAAGGAACTGAACACTCCGTCCATCTTGCCTACCAAGTTGTTTGACAGGTTGAAGTCGGTCAGTGTCTCGAGACCTCGGAAGGTGAACTCGTTCAAATTGGTCAGGTTGTTGTGGCTCATGTCCAGTATCTGTTTGATTGGATTGGTCGATGGTGGTAGTGGTGGTAGTGTAGTGGTGAAGTGTGCGTCTTCAGTGTTGTCAAACTGAGTTTAAATGCAATCTATCACCATAATTTCACTCACCTGTAATATCGGACACCCTTCAAAAACACCATCGGCCACCACTTCCAGCTCATTCCTTCTCAAATCCAAAGACACTACATTTCGAAGTGACGTCATTGAACCAGAAGCGAGTACGATCAACTGATTTCCGGCAAAATTGACGCGCGTTGCGACACGTGGCAGATCACGTGGTAGTTCTGTCATTTGACGATTGGAGCAGTCGACAGTGGCGGCAAAGCAGCTGCACACTCGAGGGCAGTTGTCGTCGAAGATGGATGACGAGGACGAAAAGAATGAGGACGACGATGATGATGGGGATGATGAGGATGATGAAGAAATGGTTGTTACCACCACCACCACCACCACCACCACCACCATCAGATGCGATATCGCCGGTAACGGCATCTTTCAAAATCACGTTACTGAAGGTAATTCTAAAAAAGATATAAAGAGGCGTTAGGGAGGGGGATGCAAGATGGTGATGATGATGATGATTATGATGATGATGATGATGACGATGACCACGGCGATGATGGTGATGATGATGATGATGATGACGATGACCACGGCGATGATGGTGATGATGATGATGATGATGACGATGACGGTGGTGGTGTTGATGATGACTATGACGATGATGGTAATGGTGATGACGACGGTTATGATAGTGATTGCGTTAGAGCGCCTACAATCATTAAGAGCCTTTTGGTTATTTTGGTAAGTATGAATGAACGAATGAATGAACGAATGAATGAATGAATGAGTCGACCGGCCGTGAAAGAGATAAGAAACTTTCATAATATTAATAATATGATAATAATAATAAAATTATAATTATATTTATTATTACTATTAAATATTCAAACTACATCGTCGTCGTCGTCATCCCCTTTTCAAGGTTCCTTCCACTCTATGGAATAAATAAATAAATAAATAAATAAATAGAGCTTATTACAACACGTCAGACGAAACAACAACACAACGGCATCATCATCAACAACATAAATAATAATAATAATAACAACAACAACAATAATAATAATAACAACAACAACAACAATAATAATAATAAAAACAAGACACAGATTTAAAATTCTTCTAAGTGTTGATACTATCATCTACTTCTGGCCCATCAGATGTTATTATCATTCTCATCATCATCGTCGTCGTCGTCATCATCATCATTATAATTATTTTTTTTTATTACTCCAACCATCACCATCAACATATATTTGGGGGGGGAAATATGACGTCGACGATGATGATATTAATGAGGATGGTGTGATGGTGATGATTATGAATACGATGATTGCAATGATGGTAATGATGACAGCAGTGATGATGATGATGATGATCATGATGATGATCATGATCATGATCATGATCATGATCATGATGATGATATTGATGATGATGACAACGACGACGATGATGATGATGGGGACGCATTGGATTACTTAGAATCGCATCTAATAAACTCAAAGCATTTTCATAAACCAACAAATGTACGACGTACCACGCAAAAATTGAATGATGACTCTTCTTGCATTTGAAACAGGTCTCCACGAGATCATTTGTGACGGTAGCAGTACCAGGCACGGCGCCCCTACCATCTCAGCCATCTTGCCAACCAGTGATGACGTCATTGTCATTGGAAAAAAATGATAATGTTGACGACGTTGAGGTTAAAAAATTTTATCCTCAAAAAAATATTTTCCAAGATAGAAAGACTTGTCTTAAGAATAAAAGTGTGAAAAGTAAATTCAGATAAAACTTTTTAAAAATTTTTCATTTTTCATTTTTTTTTTGTTTCTGTTTATTCTCAGCTTTTTCTCCATTAATCATTCAAGCTTGCAACGTCACAAGACCACCCTGAGTAGCCTACCACCAACAATTATGATGATGATGATGTTGATTATTATTATTATTATTATTATTGTTATTATTATTATTAATCATCATCATCATCATCGTTGTCGTCTCCATCATAATCACGAACACTCTTTATCACCATCATCATCATCATTACCACCACCGTCACAATCATAATCATGATCTTCTCACAATCATCCCCATCGTCACTAATCAACGCGCGATTTCCCCGCGATCCACCAGGCTGACAAATGTTTTACCATCATTTCTCTTGTTAACACTTTAATAATTCTTCATTGAAAATAATGACTCTATCCATACATATATATATATCGTAATGTCTACGTGTAGGTATGCGCGTGTGTGTTTATGTGTGTGCGCGTGTGTCAGAGTGTGTGTGTGCGTGTTTGTGTGTGTTTGTGTGTGTGTGTGTGTGTGTGTGTGTGTGTGTGTGTGTGTGTGTGTGTGTGTGTGTGTGTGTGTGTGTGTCAGTGTGTGTATGTAGGTCAGTGTGTGAAATTCTTAAATGCCTGTTCAAACACCTTGCGTCTATCGATATCATATAAGAAAATAAATTGGTCCAAGCTAGAATCGGTCAAACAACTTCGACTGGTCACTTCACTAGGGTCCGGAGTGTTTGTGTATCGTGCAAATCAATGTTTCAATATTCATGCGATTTTTTTTACAAGAACTGTGAGGTTATAAGAAGCCTACCAATGTCTTGGTGTTACATCTGTGAATCGTAAACTATATTTTCAACATCACTATCTCTATCATTACATCATTGTGTCAACATCATTTCATCATCAACGATGTCTTCTCCTCTATTTCATTATGCCCACCATCCAATCCGACCAACGTTCCATACGAGGTTTTTGTAATTCATCCACCCACCAGCCAAATCCCCACCTCTCATTTGCATATTCATGAAGATCGTTCATCTCATTTGCATATTCATGAGGGTGGTGTCATTGATGCAGTGCTAGACACGGACTCGCATTGTCCGTTGCAATTGGCTGACGCATAAATTCACCGAGCCACTTATTTCGTGGAATTTTTTTGTCTTGATGTTTTAAATTTAATTTTTGATGGTTTGGCTTGTCGCAATTTTATTCTTTTTTAATTTTTTGGTTTTTAAGTTAGTGAAAAATGGTTTTGCCTGCATGTCGCTTCTATACTCATCTTCAATTAATCTTTTGTTTAAAATTTATTTCCGACTAACAATTCAGTGAAGGTTGTTTGAAATGGAATCACTTGATGGTCAGATTGATGTTTGTTACGATTATAATTTATTGCTGAGGCTTTTGTTTGTGTCTTGCAACTTTGATATTATCTATCATACTGTCGTGTGTGTGATAGTATCTACCATACTGTCGTGTGTGTGATAGTATCTATCATACTGTCGTGTGTGTGATAGTATCTATCATACTGTCGTGTGTGTGATAGTATCTATCATTCTGTAGTGTGTGTGATAGTATCTATCATTCTGTAGCGTGTGTGATAGTATCTATCATTCTGTAGCGTGTGTGATAGTATCTATCATACTGTAGCGTGTGTGATAGTATCTATCATACTGTAGCGTGTGTGATAGTATCTATCATACTGTAGCGTGTGTGATAGTATCTATCATACATACATCTATCTTAAATTTACCAGAAAACAAACAGCATCATCTTCCTATCTCAGGTCGGATGATTTGAATCTGCTAAGGGTGCCAGTCACGCGTTTGCAAATTGGTTCTAGGGACATTGCCGTGGCTGGTCCCTCTGTTTGGAATAACCTTCCACCTATGTTAAGAAGATCGGGAACTTCTCTGGATTTATTTAAAAAAGAACTAAAGACATTTTTATTTTCTGTGAAATTGTAAAATTTGTTACTTTGATTTTCGTTTCATGAACAGTCACATATAACATTTTGTTTTGTTTTTGAGAGAACGCTTATGAAATTGTTTAATTAGCGTTTAATAAATGTTTCTTAATAATAATAATAATAATAATAATAATAATAATAATAATAATACTGTGATAGTATCTATCATAATGTCGTGTGAGTGATACAATGTGTGTGCATTGACCACCGCGACGGGGTATGATTTCATTCTTTGACAAAATTCATGATTTGCAATAGTCTATTTTATTCCATTTCAACTTGAATCACTTCATTTTTTGACAATTTCATAAATAAGTGTTATCAGGTTCAGTTATGCTACTATGATTGTTTCTAAATTTTAATAATGGAGTATTGTAATCAACATCATCATCATCTTCTTCATCACCACCGTCATCATCAACAACAACAAAAATCACAACAAATACCGCAAAATCATCATCATCGTCATCAACAACAAAATCATCATCATCAACATCAAAAAACAACATTATCACCATTATCAAACAACAACAACATCATCATCATCAACAACAACAACATCATCATCATCAACAACATCATCATCATCATCGTCAACAACAACAACATCATCATCATCCACAGTATCATCATCATCATCTTCAACAACATCATCATCAACAACATCATCATCGACCGAGATGCAAACGACACTTACTAACTAGCAAATGATGTATGGGTGCCAGGAAAAAATAGGAAAACGCAGAAGTGGATGGATGGATGGATGGATGGATGGATGGATGGATGGATGGATGGATGGATGGATGGATGGATGGATGGATGAATGGATGAATAAACAAACGTAAAGACCGATGGACAGTCGGACAAACAGACATATAAATTAATGACTTAGACAACGGTTGAATGGCCACAAACGTTTACACGCACGCACAGGGGCACACAAGCACAACACACAACAGCACACACATACACATACATCTCTATACTCAGATACTGATAGTTATATCTTTTCAATTGGCTCTCTAAGACAACGCCGCTACTCATTAAGGTTCTTTCACGCCTCTTACTGAAGAGATCTTTTCATCTATCATTTTTCTTCTCTTTCTCTTTCTCTCTCGCCTTCTCTCTTTTCCTTTCATGTTATATTCTTTTATAATCATTCGCTTTGATTGATTATTTTCATCGAAATTTTCAATTGATTGATTGATAGTTTGATATTTATTCAGTTTATTAAAATGTCAATCTATCAACATATATCTAGAAATAAATCAACATCTATCAACATCTATCTAGAAAAAAATACGATGTATACATGTGTGTGAGAGAGAGAGATTGAAAAAGAGAGAGAAAAAGAGAGAGAGAGAAGGGGGGGGAAGAAGTACGTATATATAAAATGCAGAGAAAGCCAACATTAAGGCATGATATAGTTCAACATCACATGAAGCATCAATCCTATCTACGGCCGACCATCTCTGAAGATAAATTGCATTAGAAGTTTCATTTCAATTCTCCCCCCTTAATTAAAAATATTTGTATACGTACGATTTGGTAATAGACAAGTTAATGTGTAAGCAACCTGTGTGTGTGTGTGTGTGTGCATGTGCACACATATAGGCGTACATACATATACATACCTG